TATAAAGTGGCAAATTTTGTTTTCGTCAACAATGCATGTTGACTTTAAACATGCAGCATTATGGGACTTTACATTCTATATTTACTAGATTTTGCTGGATTCTGGATTCCAGGTGTCTGCAGTCTGTGCTGTGTGTGTGTGTACCTACTTAACCATAACTTAACCATAACCAAGCTAAACCTGACAAAATCTCCAAAAACCTCCCTTTGGGGATGTCCTCATTTGTAAAACTGGTATAAAAATAAAGTAAACAAAGTTTTTTTTTTTTTTATTGTAAAAATGCTGAAAGTTTCTGCAGTCTTTGCTGTGTGTGTGTGTGTGTGTGTGTGTGTGTGCACTCATCACATGGCCGTTTGTGAAGTTATACATAACATACTCCTGCCCTCCTCGTCTCCTCTCTCTCTCCTCCCCCTCTTCATCCCCAACGCTTAAATCAAGAAAATGGCCACGCATCAAGAGGATCATTTGGGCCCGAGAACAACCCCGCTCCTTCGTCGAATCTGCCAGCCGCACCGTTCTCAGGCCCACCGGCCTCCGCTCACTCTAGCCCGCCGTGTGTGACGCTGTATCATTTGGGCCCGAGAACAACCCTCAAAACAGTCAATCATCTGAAAGACGCGCACACAGACACAAGCAGATCTGAAGTCTCCCATCATTCCTGCCGCCGCTGATGTCACCGCTGCGCCCTTGCAGCATCTGACAGCAAGAAAACCGATGAACCCAATGCAACACAAACGACTGCTAGCGCAACGCTCTAATCACAAGAATGACTCTTTCTGTGTGCAGCGGATCACGTGGTGCTGAATGCGGAACTCTATATGTAAATGGAAGTTGCATGGTTGGCACATGACATGCATGCTGCTATCTTTGCTTTGCTGTTAAAAGGGTCATATGATGCGATTTCAATTTTTCCTTTCTCTTTGGAGTGTTACAAGCTCTTGGTGCATAAAGAAGATCTGTAAAGTTGCAAAGACTAAAGTCTCAAATCCAAAGAGATATTCTTTATAAAAGTTAAGAGTCAACCACGCCTACCTAAAACGGCTCGTTCTAACACACCCCACATGTCTACGTCACGATGTGAGAAGATTTGCATAACGGGCTCGTTCTAACACGCCACCACATACCTAGGTCACTATCTGGGAAGATTTGCATAACAGCGCCCAAATGTTCACGCAAAGAAAGAAAGGCGTAACTTTTATTCTGGCTGTAGTATTGTTGCTGTGTAAGGCGCTGTGTGTTTCGTTGTGAAAGCGAAACTACTTTGTTTGGTCTTCCAAAAGAGGACGATATCCGTGCTGATCCATGCTGGTCGCTGAGGAAATACATCAACTTCGCGCTGTGGATCGCCAGATCGGCTTTCAACGTTTTCACCGCTCCTTCGTCGGATCCGCCGGGACCGCCGGGACCGCCGTTCTCGATCCCGCCACCTCAGCTCACTCTTGCCCGGCTTCAGCTCAGACTAAGCCGGGGCTTTCGCTCACGCTAGGCCGCTGTGTTTTTCGTTGTGAAAGCGAAACTACTTAGTTTGGTCTTCCAAAAGAGGACATGACTACAAAT